GGTTTTCCAGACACCCGAAAATATTGCATCAGCTCGCCCTCTGGAGAATTTACTGTATATATTATTGTAAGTTGTCAACCTTTTTCTGAAAAGAACCATTATCATGGATAGCAAAGGAAGGCAATATTTCGTTAAGTGTTTTCCTTTTATATATTTTGTATTTTTGTTTGTAATCTAAATCTTTAGCCGAATCATTTTCTTCTTGCAAATCACATAGTTCTACCCGGCAAGTCTTTTGCCTGGATGATCTATAATTGGAAATACGCCAAACTTGTTCTTACTCTGGTAGTTTCGCACGCAAAGTTGAAAGCTGTTCATAAACTAGGATTATAGATTTACAGATAGCTTGAATAAATAATAAATTCCTGCCTATTTTTGCCGGTGATGGAAATGTGGAAAAACGTTATGAACTGAGCTCATTGTTACAGAGTTACCTTTTGTAAAAACAGAGCGGTTGTGAGACAGGCGGTCTTCTTGTGATGACAATGAGGTCTGCATCCCAAACTATGAAGAAAACAGCGCAAACTGCTTATGCAGAGAGGGCTACATTGGCAAACCATGTAGTAAATGTCTTTATATAATTGATTAGTTATTTGAAAAAAAAGAAAACAACATCACACTGACAGTGAACCTCATGATTTTTACTAAAAATTGTAATATTTTAGTTGACATATGCCTGTGGCGCGGTGGCCTCATGGACCGGCTTCAAGCCCTGGCATTGATCATTGCGTTGTGAATAGCAGATTTGCTCGACAGCGTGATTTGAATACAGCTACCAGAATTCATTTTTCGTTATTATTTAGATTTCGAAGCCCCAGTGGGCTTTAAATAACGATTGCCTTAATTAACATGAAAACTAGAAAAAGAGAAGGATTCTGGTAGCTGTAGTCAAATAGCGCATATCATCTTGCAAATCGCCTATATTCTAGGGCAACACACTTCACTCTCGCAGTGCCTCTCTCCACCCAGGTGTATAAATGGAAACCGGAGAGTTAAATGCTGGATGTAACCCTACGTTGGACTAGAATCATTACCCTAATACCTCTGATTATCAGAAAAGCTTTTGCAATTTGTTTTAAAATGTTTAAGATCTGCAAAATTTACAAAAATATAACGCAAGGATCGTGGCCGCCAAACTGGCAGCGCTTACTTGGCAAATGTTCCATATTTCGTTTTTTCTGTTATCTATCAGGGCCGATTCTTCAGCCCCACTTAATTGAAGATTAACAATATTTTGAATAAAGTGATAAACTTTTCTTTTCCCTTTCAACGATCCAAAGAAGCTAAAAGCTGCGCCCAACTCCTCCAAGATGGTTTTACCTCAAGCGGTCTGTACACATTCAGTCCAGATGGCGGCAAAGCAATACAAGTGTTGTGTGACATGACCACGGACGGTGGAGGTTGGAAAGTTTTTCAGAGACGTTTAGACGGCTCTGTTGACTTTTACCTTGGTTGGGAATCCTACAAAAACGGGTTTGGAGATTTCAACGGCGAGTTCTGGCTTGGGAACGACAATCTTCACCGTTTGACAGCAGCTGATGACGTCATACTGAGAATTGACTTGGAAGACTTTGATGGAGACATCAGATACGCTGAGTACACGACTTTTAAGGTGGCAGACGAGGCAGATAAGTACCGACTTTTGATTGGNAGCGGTCTGTACACATTCAGTCCAGATGGCGGCAAACCAATACAAGTGTCGTGTGACATGACCACGGACGGTGGAGGTTGGACAGTTTTTCAGAGACGTTTAGTCGGCTCTGTTGACTTTTACCTTGGTTGAGAATCCTACAAAAACGGGTTTGGAGATCTGAACGGCGAGTTCTGGCTTGGGAACGACAATCTTCACCGTTTGACAGCAGCTGATAACGTCATACTGAGAATTGACTTGGAAGACTTTCATGGAGACATCAGATACGCTGAGTACACGACTTTTAAGGTGGCAGACGAGGCAGATAAGTACCAACTTTTGATTGGAGGATACAATGGCACGGCTGGTGACTCGATGGCTTTCCATAAGTAAGAGAAACCATTGAAAAGTTAATGTATAGTACTTTTTAAAACAGTCGTGTTAGAATTCTACTAGTTATTAGGCGACACTAATTTTAAAGCTGTTTACATTTTGTAATCACTGTGTGATAAACACGGCTGGTAAGTGAGTTCATGTAAATGATTCGATATCCGTGATAACAAGTGAAAGAATTATATAGTTAAGCCGGTTTTACCGAGTTAATGTAGAATGTTGCATTGTAATTAACGGAGCATACCATTTAATTATTTTTGCCTCTGTTACTCTCTATCTCAGACAGGTAGGTTTGTTGTTGTATAACACTCCGTAAATCATCAATCTGTAATTTTTTTCCAGTGGTATGCAGTTTTCTACGAATGATTACGACAATGACGGCTTTTATAGCAGCTGCGCGCAAAGGTACAGAGTAGCTTGGTGGTACAATACTTATCATAGCTCCAATCCTAACGGACTTTACCTGAACGAAACACATTCTTCTTTTGCCGATGGAGTCAACTGGCTCACGTTTAGAGGCCTGTACTATTCACTAAAACGCACTGAAATGAAGGTTAAAACCAAATCCTAAATCTTTGAGTTAGGGTAGGGACTCCCTAATGCACCTTTTGTCAAAATGAAGAAGAGTCTATGTAGTGTTTACTGTATTATTCTGAGTTTTCAGGTTTTTTTTTGTGTTTTCTGGAAAGAGCTTTTTATCATGCGTGGATAGCGAAGGAAATAAATATTTCGTTAATCTGTATTTTTAGATTTTTTTTTTCATATCCTCAATCTTGAAAATCATTTTTTCTGAAAAATCATACACTTCTACTCGGCAAACCTTTCATCTATAATTGTAAATACTCCAAACTTGTTCCTCGGCTCTCGTAATTTTTCAAGCAGAGTTGAAAGCTATCCATAAACTAGAATTAGATGTTGCAAAACACAACTGAATACTGAGTATACATTTGGAATAATGGGAACTCCTTTTGTTTTTTGTATCTTGATAACTTAACGTTACATTTTTTTTTTTAATTTCTTATTTCCTCTTTTAAATAACCTATCCGGTGCCTGTCGCAAAAGTCACTGAAAAGTAGCACAACTCTGTGAATGCATAAAATTTATAATTAATGTAGCCGACAAGTTATTTGGCTGATAAGTGTTTCTATGCATTGTTTTCTATTTTGTTTTGTAATATTGTAATATTACGGCATACTGATTACATATTGTAAGTAGTCTGTTAGTTACAGTGCTCATTTGGGATCGAGTAGGATTATGCTGACGCCAATTCCCTAGTCTCGATATTGAATACCCATAATTATTGTAATTCATGACTGTACTTATTACAAATTTCCCTTTTCATAATTGCTTTCACAATTAGACCCACCTGTCACTAGCTAAACTCATTGTACTGGCATATCTGCTTGTAAATTTAATTTAANGAATCATTTTCTTCTTGCAAATCACATAGTTCTACCCGGCAAGTCTTTTGCCTGGATGATCTATAATTGGAAATACGCCAAACTTGTTCTTACTCTGGTAGTTTCGCACGCAAAGTTGAAAGCTGTTCATAAACTAGGATTATAGATTTACAGATAGCTTGAATAAATAATAAATTCCTGCCTATTTTTGCCGGTGATGGAAATGTGGAAAAACGTTATGAACTGAGCTCATTGTTACAGAGTTACCTTTTGTAAAAACAGAGCGGTTGTGAGACAGGCGGTCTTCTTGTGATGACAATGAGGTCTGCGTCCCAAACTATGAAGAAAACAGCGCAAACTGCTTATGCAGAGAGGGCTACATTGGCAAACCATGTAGTAAATGTCTTTATATAATTGATTAGTTATTTGAAAAAAAAGAAAACAACATCACACTGACAGTGAACCTCATGATTTTTACTAAAAATTGTAATATTTTAGTTGACATATGCCTGTGGCGCGGTGGCCTCATGGACCGGCTTCAAGCCCTGGCATTGATCATTGCGTTGTGAATAGCAGATTTGCTCGACAGCGTGATTTGAATACAGCTACCAGAATTCATTTTTCGTTATTATTTAGATTTCGAAGCCCCAGTGGGCTTTAAATAACGATTGCCTTAATTAACATGAAAACTAGAAAAAGAGAAGGATTCTGGTAGCTGTAGTCAAATAGCGCATATCATCTTGCAAATCGCCTATATTCTAGGGCAACACACTTCACTCTCGCAGTGCCTCTCTCCACCCAGGTGTATAAATGGAAACCGGAGAGTTAAATGCTGGATGTAACCCTACGTTGGACTAGAATCATTACCCTAATACCTCTGATTATCAGAAAAGCTTTTGCAATTTGTTTTAAAATGTTTAAGATCTGCAAAATTTACAAAAATATAACGCAAGGATCGTGGCCGCCAAACTGGCAGCGCTTACTTGGCAAATGTTCCATATTTCGTTTTTTCTGTTATCTATCAGGGCCGATTCTTCAGCCCCACTTAATTGAAGATTAACAATATTTTGAATAAAGTGATAAACTTTTCTTTTCCCTTTCAACGATCCAAAGAAGCTAAAAGCTGCGCCCAACTCCTCCAAGATGGTTTTACCTCAAGCGGTCTGTACACATTCAGTCCAGATGGCGGCAAAGCAATACAAGTGTTGTGTGACATGACCACGGACGGTGGAGGTTGGAAAGTTTTTCAGAGACGTTTAGACGGCTCTGTTGACTTTTACCTTGGTTGGGAATCCTACAAAAACGGGTTTGGAGATTTCAACGGCGAGTTCTGGCTTGGGAACGACAATCTTCACCGTTTGACAGCAGCTGATGACGTCATACTGAGAATTGACTTGGAAGACTTTGATGGAGACATCAGATACGCTGAGTACACGACTTTTAAGGTGGCAGACGAGGCAGATAAGTACCGACTTTTGATTGGAGGATATAATGGCACGGCTGGTGACTCGATGGCTTTCCATAAGTAAGAGAAACCATTGAAAAGTTAATGTATAGTACTTTTTAAAACAGTCGTGTTAGAATTCTACTAGTTATTAGGCGACACTAATTTTAAAGCTGTTTACATTTTGTAATCACTGTGTGATAAACACGGCTGGTAAGTGAGTTCATGTAAATGATTCGATATCCGTGATAACAAGTGAAAGAATTATATAGTTAAGCCGGTTTTACCGAGTTAATGTAGAATGTTGCATTGTAATTAACGGAGCATACCATTTAATTATTTTTGCCTCTGTTACTCTCTATCTCAGACAGGTAGGTTTGTTGTTGTATAACACTCCGTAAATCATCAATCTGTAATTTTTTTCCAGTGGTATGCAGTTTTCTACGAATGATTACGACAATGACGGCTTTTATAGCAGCTGCGCGCAAAGGTACAGAGTAGCTTGGTGGTACAATACTTATCATAGCTCCAATCCTAACGGACTTTACCTGAACGAAACACATTCTTCTTTTGCCGATGGAGTCAACTGGCTCACGTTTAGAGGCCTGTACTATTCACTAAAACGCACTGAAATGAAGGTTAAAACCAAATCCTAAATCTTTGAGTTAGGGTAGGGACTCCCTAATGCACCTTTTGTCAAAATGAAGAAGAGTCTATGTAGTGTTTACTGTATTATTCTGAGTTTTCAGGTTTTTTTTTGTGTTTTCTGGAAAGAGCTTTTTATCATGCGTGGATAGCGAAGGAAATAAATATTTCGTTAATCTGTATTTTTAGATTTTTTTTTTCATATCCTCAATCTTGAAAATCATTTTTTCTGAAAAATCATACACTTCTACTCGGCAAACCTTTCATCTATAATTGTAAATACTCCAAACTTGTTCCTCGGCTCTCGTAATTTTTCAAGCAGAGTTGAAAGCTATCCATAAACTAGAATTAGATGTTGCAAAACACAACTGAATACTGAGTATACATTTGGAATAATGGGAACTCCTTTTGTTTTTTGTATCTTGATAACTTAACGTTACATTTTTTTTTTTAATTTCTTATTTCCTCTTTTAAATAACCTATCCGGTGCCTGTCGCAAAAGTCACTGAAAAGTAGCACAACTCTGTGAATGCATAAAATTTATAATTAATGTAGCCGACAAGTTATTTGGCTGATAAGTGTTTCTATGCATTGTTTTCTATTTTGTTTTGTAATATTGTAATATTACGGCATACTGATTACATATTGTAAGTAGTCTGTTAGTTACAGTGCTCATTTGGGATCGAGTAGGATTATGCTGACGCCAATTCCCTAGTCTCGATATTGAATACCCATAATTATTGTAATTCATGACTGTACTTATTACAAATTTCCCTTTTCATAATTGCTTTCACAATTAGACCCACCTGTCACTAGCTAAACTCATTGTACTGGCATATCTGCTTGTAAATTTAATTTAATTCTTCTATTTTCTTCTTTTCTTCTTTTATTGTGATTAAATGTGCTATTGCTTATTACATTGGCCGCCTCGATCAGCCTAAGCTATATGCGGGTAGCGTAAGTTGTAATTTTGATTTGGGATGGCAATAAATAAAACTATGTAATAAATTATAAACTTTAGAGATAGTGAAGTTTTTGTAGAATTGTAAATGAATGCTAGTAATTAAAATCATTAATAAAATCGAAAAAAGGAAAACTTTCGAATGGCGATGAAGTCAAGTGGGATAATTTTAGAGAGTATCGCTCTTTACTAAGGGACTAAAACACATAGAGATGATTAAAGTTGAAATTAAAGGAGGCGCTCGGATTACGCTTGAGAAAGAACGAGAGAAATGATTACCAGTATTACTGAAGAGCGAAAAAAAACGTTGCATTTCATTTATTCGAGTCCTTCACTTATTGAAGGTTATCTTTCTGAATTAGATCATTGTATCATTACTGTGTGGCAACTGTCTTAGCAAACATTTCTACCCAAAGTGATTTTTTCGTTCGCTTTAATACTAACACATATGGTTAGCACAAATAGTAATTCATAAACTTATACATCATTATAACTTAGAAAACAGTCCTAAGAAAATACGCGCGCGCTGATTGGTTCAAAATCGTGTTTCTATTTGAGATTTCTATCGCGTGATAGTTGACGAGGGGGCAGTCCGAGTCAGTTATCACGCGATCGATCGATCGACAGATGACATATAGATGACATTAACAAGATCTTGAAGTTTCTGTATTGGCTCAGGCTCCGCTCCTTCAGTTCCTCTGCATGATAGCGCAATCTGACTGTCAAACACCCTGATGTGTTTAAGCGGGAAAAGAGCTGTTAGGGATGTTCATGGCGCTATTGGGACGATTTTTGCTTTAAAAACAAACAAGATGAACGTTTTATGTTACTATTTGCAATGTATTTTAAAGTGCCACTGAAACGAAATTTTCGTATCTGAGATTTTTGCATAATAATAAAGTTTGAACCTTACTTACAAGCGCTGTGAAGTTTTTTTGGTCCAACGGAGCGCGGAAAGCTTTCTTTTATCCCTTTGAACTGGGCTAGTCGAGCCCAAAATTGGCGGCCATCTTGGCGCGGCCAAAAC